TGGAGACAGTAAAACGATCAGTAGTTGCCAGGGGAAGGGAGGGGTGAATAGGTAGAGCACCAAGGATTTTTTATGGCAGTGGAATTACGCAGTATGATACTATAATGGTGCGTACACATCGTCATAAGTTTGTCTACAACCATAGAATGTACAACACCAAGAGTGAATCCTAATGTCAACGATGACTTTGAGGATTTTTTATGGCAGTGGAATTACGCAGTATGATACTATAATGGTGCGTACACGTCGTCATAAGTTTGTCTACAACCATAGAATGTACAACACCAAGAGTGAATCCTAATGTCAACGATGACTTTGGATGATAATGTCAATGTGGGTTTATGTTCATAACAAATGTACTACTGGTGTGGGACACTGATAGTGGGGGAGGCTGTGCATGTGTGGGAACAGGGAGTATATGGAAATTCTTTGTACTTTCTGTTCAATTTTCCTGTAAACCTAAAACTGGTACTACTGGTGTGGGACACTGATAGTGGGGGAGGCTGTGCATGTGTGAGAACAGGGAGTATATGGAAATTCTTTGTACTTTCTGTTCAATTTTCCTGTAAACCTAAAACTACTCTAAAAAGTAAAGTCTATTAAAAAAAAGGGAACACAGTCAATGTCAGTCTTTCTGTTACAGGACCTATCTTAGGAACTCCATGTTATTGTTATGGAAAAAGAATTTTAGTGATTAATATTAGTCCGTTAACATAGAAAACATTGCTATGAAGTAACTACTTTGCATGTACCACAAAATGTTTACCACACAAGAAGAGAGAAAATCTTACATCCTAATGCTTCCTTTTTCCCATAAGAAACAGTTAATGCTTAGTAGATGATGCTGATGAACACCTACATTGATCAGTCTTTGTGCTACTGCCAAGCAGCAGCTAACTCAGAACTATTATTAAACCTTCTTATGAAAAACCATATTTGTTGTATCCTTTGTGTGTAATTTTGTAACTGGAATAAAATATTTACTACAGAGTGCTGTTTCATCTTCTTCCTTTGAAAATATGAAGTAATGGCAAAAAGTACAATTCGTGAAGGAATACGGACAAAACCTCTTAAAAATATATATATACCTTATTGTAATTTATTGAATTTGGTATACAATATGTCAGTTTTTCTAGGATTTGACGCTAGGACATGATTGTTGCTTAGCAAAAGCCTCCAATTCATATTTAACACTAATAAAATATTTTCTGAATAAAAACACAACTCCAAACAAAGTAAGTTCAAATATTTACTTTAAAAAAATAATTTTAAAGTGTATTCTATTTAGCCTAATGACTAACCCAATAAAGGCTGATATCCTAGTTTAACATAATTGGCTCATTTTATACAGCACATATAATCCACAAATACATTATAATGTGATAGAGAACACCCAATATAACCAGTTTTACAGAACTAGGAAATAAATTGCTAAGAAAGATTTTTACAGACACCCATATTTTATACCCAATCACAGTGGTCTAACTCTAAAGAGGATAAAGCCAATGATTTTCCTCACATGAGCTCAGGGCTAAAGTTGCTTTGCTATCAAATCCGTATTGCTGATCCATCCACTCTGAGCATTGAGACAAGATTCAAATATTTCTACAGAAAGAAGCAAAATGCACACTGTAATCACCTATTCCACAACAGTGAGCATTGCATTCACAACCATCTCATCCCTGGAATTAAATAAGGTCAGCTATATAATATGTTGGCATTTCCTCCACTGTGGTATTGTAGAAAGTTTCAGTGCCACAAAGAATCCTCTGTCTTCTTTAACATTTAGGGTCACAGCTTTCCTCCCAAATTGAACCCCCCTGCCAATTCTGAACAAAAGAAAAAAAGTATTAATCAGAATACTATTTATCAAGTACTACATGAACTACTGAACAATATGAACTACTTGTTAACCGTCAGTGGCTGTTTATTTGACAAAATTATAGGTAGAGTGCTTCTAATTGGAGCACTAGATACTAATCAAAATATCTAGAGAAAAAGAATCTTTTGCAGTTAGTGCAAAAGTATTCAAAGCTCATCTGACTGCAAAATGAGATTTTATCAGGTATCTTGAGCACAATTATTTATAAAGCAGATAACCATTTGGGTTTGGGGTAGTAAAATTAAAGCCCATACCAAAGTAGACCAGCCAAGAATGGGTGCCAGCCTAGGACAGATGTAAACACCAGGGACGAAACAAAAGGAACAGTTACATAATTCATTTGACACACCTTTGGAACTGTAAACTGCAAATGTAAACTCTGGAATGTTAACTATTGTTTAGGACTATGCTGTCCAATACAATAGTCACTAGCCACTTTTGGCTATTTAAATTTAAATTATTAAAATTAAATAAAATAGAAATTTAGTTCCTCAGTTGCATTAACCACATTTCAATATCCACATGTGGTCTGTCACTCCTATTGGACAGCACATACATAGAACATTTCCATCACAAAAAGTTCTATTGGATAGCCTTGGTCCAGGACTTGAAACTTTTTCCAGTAGAAAGAAATTTCTAAAAGTTTACTATGGTAACCCATATTTATCACTGCTTTCTGGCCAGTTCATCTCACACACTGTAACCCAAATGACTGAAATATATTTGCCACCATAGCTCTCTACCAAAACAGATAACACAACCAATCAAAAATGTCCCTGCTGGAACAACTTAAAATATCAAATAACCAAGACAAGAGAAAACAAATATGAATAAACTAACTCATTCTTCATCTAAACAACATGCTGTTTTCACTTATGATTCTATGTCCTGAATCAGGACCATGCCATTTCTGACCACCACCTTGTCTCCTTGCCATCTACTCCTATCAACTACTGCATTTTTTTAAAAACAAAGTCATTTTTACATTAGTAGCAAGGCACAATTCAATTTATTTAGTGATAAAGCCACTATAACTAAGCCAGGGTCATTTAAACTGCTACCAGAATATGCTGAGAAAATTCCAATTACAGAGGAATCGTCAAGAAAACATGGATACGAGCAACATGACTTAAAAAAAGACTCACATGGAAGCTAAAGACAACCTAATCTAACAGCACTATTAATTTTTTTCGTTTGAATATCAACAGTATAAGGTCCAAAACTTGGGCTACATTTCACATTTGCTTTCCCACTCTATTCTGACCTACCACGAATCTTCCCAAGTACAATTTAAATAAATCTTATTATGTTATGAGGTGATAAGATTATTTTCCTGATTCACTTGACTCATTTTCAAGGTTATCTGGCTGACAAAATCACAATACATGAATTTATTTCACTAGAATAAAAGGAAGGAATTCAAAGAAGATGACAAATACTCAACTGAGAACATAGTTTTCACGTAGTAGATAGATCATATTTTAAAACCATAGACACTATTTGCACATAAAAATCAAGAACCTGAGATATAACATATATTCAAATTCTGATTCAAAAAGCAACTGCTGTATACTCTTCTAGGCCACAGAATAGTAATGAACTATTTATAACAGTGTAGTTCACTGTGGAGTGTGTTCTTTATTCCCCCACAACTTGAGCTGGCAAAGGCTGCTATAAGCCTTCCCCCAAACCAACTTTTGGTAGATAAATATTGTAATTAAATAAGGAAATGAAATACTTACCAATAAGTCAGCAGCAATCAAGATAAAGTTTTTCCCTTATCTGAATTCCTTCCCGATAATGCCTGTTTCCTTCTGTCACTGCCTGCAAAACATTAACAAGCCCTAATTCTCAAGTGTCATTTGTGGAGTCAGTGCTTAAACTGATAAACATGTATGAGACCAAACATCCCTGCTGCTAAAGCACCACGGCAGACAGGGCTTGAAAGGTAACACTTTTATTTTGAGCAGGGGGCAAAGACAATGCAGCACTTCACAGCAACACTGTAACTAGATCCTGCATCAGTTTATTAAGGAAATAATTAGAAATTAACAGCGTCTTAATTAGCAATGGTAAGGAAGAGCAGCTCTTATCACATCAGAAACTAAAATCCCTGATATACATTTTCTCAGAAGCCACAATATCCTTCCCCTTGTGTTCGACAAAAAACAGACTGACTGGTCAGTCTCTCATCTATTACAAAGAGCATACAATTTCCTTCCCTACAGTATTTCAGAGAAGAAATGTTAATTCACATAGGAGTTAAAATAAAAAGCCATTTGATTTCTAATTCTCATCCTCACCACTGACGGAGTTATTTATTCAATTAATTATACCTAAACAAAGATATTATGGTATCAAATCCTAGAACAAAGTACCCTGGTCTTAAGAAAGAGGTGCATCTCAGTTTTTTTCTGTCTGGTATGGTTGTTTAGTTGTTTTTTCTTCTTGTGTTTACTCTGCTAGCTTTATTACAAATATTAAGACATGATACTATGTTCTGTAATTTTAGCAAAGAGCTTAACAAAGAAGGTAGAATAAAAAATCCTGGCTATAGTTTTTATGTATACCAATTAGAAAAACATTACCCTCTTTCAAAATTACTGTAAAACATTGATCCTTTCAAGGGCCAATTCTTCCTTCTTGACCAGAATTTGAAGTGAATCTCTCATGAACTTTTTGATAACTTCCAACATATTGATTAGCACTGAGGCAGAAAGCAACATAACCTTAAAAAAGAGACAATGACTAATTACATCGACAAATCAATTAAGCAGATATAACAGTTTTCATAACAATACTGAGAGAGAAATAATGTTTGAGACCAAGCGTACCTGTCTTACTATAGAACTGAGTTAGACAGAGATTGTGGGAAACAATTGTTTTCAGCAAGGGGAAAGGACAATATAGTACTTCACAGCTATATTGTAACAATTAACCCAACTTGCCAGCTACAGAAGAATCACATGCACACCTGCTGACTTGTATTTAATTTCTCATGGATTTGATCCTTAATTCCTTGGCTCAACATTTTTATCTGCTTCATCCAAATTGAACAACCCTATCCACTTTGAAATGTTAAAAAAAAAAAAATAAAGTTTTACTTAAGTATGAGCTGGGCATAGTGATTTCCTTGCAAATAGTACAATATGGAAGGAGGGTAGGAGAAGAGTAACTTTCTAGTAGAGAAACCTGAGAAATACTACCTCAGCCACATAATTACTGTCAACATCGATAGTTGTAACTCTTGATATGATGTAAGGAGAACGGCATTTTACATCTGTGGTCTTCCCCAAAGGCTCAAAATCCCAGTGTAATCTTGAAAATAACATCAGACAAATTACAATAGAGAGGATGTCCTACAAAATACCTGACCGGCACTCGTCAAAACTGTCAAAGTCATCAACAACAAGGCAACTGTGAGAAACTGTCACAGCCAAGAAGAGACTAAGGAGACATAACAACTAAATATGATGTGGTATCCTGAATGGAATCCTGGAACAGAAAAAGTACTCTAGGTAAAAACTAAAGAAATCTGAATAAGCTTTGGACTTTAGTTCAAATAATGCATCAGTGTTGGTTCATTAATAGTAAGAAATTTACCATACTAACATAAAATGTTAATAGGGAAACTGGGTGCAAGGTATATGGGAACTCTCTGTACTATCTTTATTTTTCTGTAAATCTAAAACTGTTCTAAAAAATAAAGTCTATTTTAAAAAAAAATCTTAGTATCACCTCTAGATATTAATGCATAGCAACTGGCTTAATTAGGCTAATTATTTTTCCCTCCCATAACCCAGATATCACTGCTTAAAAAATGCCCCAGGAAAAATACAGCAATACTGACAAAGATATCTTCTACTTAACATATCAAAATTCTTCCATGTTACTAGTAACAGTATGTGCTGCCTCAGCCTGCATTTTTTGCATTTCACTTAGAACACCCATTCTACAACACAGGCATGACAAGTTGCTCCCATATAGTCTTTAAGTACCAGAAATAACTTTTGGATCTAAAAGCCAAAAGTCTAAATTACTAGGTTGTAGAAATACAGACTTCAACAACTGACTTCAAAGCACATGGTTAAATGCTGAACTGCTCATACTTAGTTTAAAATTCTGATCTGAAAGCAGTTTTTAACACAGCACAACACTGAATCACTTCCAAGCTTACAAAGTAGACTCATCAAACTGCCCAAGGACTGACTACACTGACTTCAGATTCTGTGTCATTTAGCCACCTCCAGGGAACTAGGCCTGATAGAGTGGCTTGCTCAGCAGGAGGCTGGCTTTCTTTCCCTTCCTAATCCCATTTCCCTACTCTTCTACTATTTTTTCCTAGAAACTCTCTAATAAATCACTTGCACATAAATCCCTGTCTCAGGGTTTACTTCTGGGGTCCTAATCCACATGTTATAAGTATTTTTAAATGAATGTCATTTCTCTTTAAAGGCAATATTATCTCCTTTTCTTGGGTAACATATTTCTGATGTAAACGGCAGTCATTCTTCTGCCACTGCTGAATGCAAATGGATATAAGTATTTTTAAATGAATGTCATTTCTCTTTAAAGGCAATATTATCTCCTTTTTTTGGGTAACATATTTCTGATGTAAACGGCAGTCATTCTTCTGCCACTGCTGAATGCAAATGGAGAAACATGATCTGGAAAAGTTTTAAAATTCAAATTTAAATATTAAAGATTTTAATCCTTTACCTGTAATACATGTTACAAATATTTTCTCCCCTTCCAGTTTGTCAGTTGTCTTTTAATTTTATTATGCATTTACCATACAATTTGTTTTATGTAGTCTAATTTATCAATTTTTTCTTTCATTGCTTGTAGATTTTGAGTCATAGTTAGAAAGCATTTTCTTTTTAGTAATTGTATGGTTTCACTTTTTACATTCAGATCCCTGATCCATTTGTATATTATTATTTTTGTATATGCTATGAGGCATGGATCTAATTTTATCTTTTTCCAAATGGCCAACTGGTTGGCCCAGCACCATCATTATAAAGTCCAACTATGCCTCAAGGAAGTGCAGTATCAACTTTATTTTTAATCTTCCACATGCACTTGGGACTATTTCTGGATTTTCTATTCTATTCTACTTGTCTTTTAATATATTCAAACCTAGTTCCGTGCTTTAATTTTAGAGGTTGTGTAGCCTATATAGCCACAAAGCCTCTATAACAACCTTTATAATCTCTATAATAGTTTTAATAATAGAAGCTAAAAACAAAAAGAATTGTAAACCAATATTGAACTCTGGTTAATTGGTATGTTTTTCACAGTGGTATGGATTAGCGATTTTGAATCTACTTTTATAACATTATACGATTAAGCATACGATTAAGTGAACATATTGTAGATAATGAGCTTTCTCGCTCTCAGAGAAGGCATTACCATTATGGAAAGAGCAGGCCTGAGTGACCCTGAGATGGTGCTTTGGAACTGAGGTAACGGTATGAACTCGTTTTTTTCTTTTTTCTATTTTTAAATACATGTGTGGATAGCGATGGAAACAGGTATAGATGTGCGTGGGTGTACGGGCATATATATATATATATTTATACATATTTATATATATATATA